ATGATTAATGATGTTGAGCATCTTTTTCATGTGTCCATGAGCCATCTGTATGTCTTTGGAAAAATGTTCAGGTCCTCTGCCCATTTTTAAATCAGATTGATTGGGTTTTTTTGGTGGTGTCTAAGTTCTTTATGTATTTTGGATGTTAGCCCCTTCTCAGATATATCATTGGCAAATATCTTCTCCCATTCACTCGGTTGCCTTTTTGTTTTGTTGATGGTTTTGTTTTTTGTTGTGCAAAACTTTTTATTTTCATAGAGTCTCAATAGTTTATTTTTGCTTTTGTTTCCCTTGCCCAAGGAGAAATATCCATAAGTATGTTGTAAGGCTGATGTCCAAAGAGATGACTGTGTTTTCTTTTATGGTTTCAGGTTGCACATTTAGGTCTTTAATTCATTTTGAGTTTACTTTTGTATATGGTGTTAAGACAGTGGTCCAGCTTCATTCTTTTGCATGTGGCTGTCCAGTTTTCCCAGCACCATTTATTGAAAAGACTGTCTTTTCCCCATTGTATATTCTTGGCTCCTTTGTTGTAGATTAATTGACCATATAAGTGTGGGTTTATTTCTGGGCTATCTGTCCTGTTCCATTGATCTGTTTTTGTGCCAGTACCATACCATTTTGATTACTGTAGCTTTGTAGTATATCTTTAAGTGTGGGGTTATGATTTGTTCTTCTTTTTCAAGATTGCTTTGGCTATTCCAGGTCTTTTGTGGTTCCTGTGTAATTTTAGGATTATTCTAGTTTCATGAAAAATGCTATGGTATTTTGATAGGGATTGCACTGAATCTCTGGATTGCTTTGGGAAGTATGGACATTTTAACAATACTGATTTTTCCAGTCCATGCACATGGTATATCTTTCCATTAGTGTCATCTTCAGTTTATTTCATCAGTGTCTTATAGTTTTCAGAGTTTAGGTCTTTCACCTCCTTGTTTAAAATTATTCCTAGGGGGGCGCCTGGGTGGCTCAGTTGGTTAAGCGACTGCCTTCGGCTCAGGTCATGATCCTGGAGTCCCCGGATCGAGTCCCACATCGGGCTCCCTGCTCGGCAGGGAGTCTGCTGCTCCCTCTGACCCTCCCCCCCTCATGTGCTCTCTCTCATTCTCTCTCTCTCAAATAAATAAATAAAAATCTTTAAAAAAAAATTATTCCTAGGTATTTTATTCTTTGGGATGTAAATTAATTTTTTTTTAAGATTTTATTTATTTGAGAGAGAGAGAGCACAAGCAGGGAGAGGGGCAGAAAGAGAGGGAGAAGCAATCTCCCTTGCTGAGCTGGGAGCCTGATGTGGGGCTCGATCCCAGGACCCTGGGATCATAAGCTGAGCTGAAGGCAGACACTTAACTAACTGAGCCACCCAAGAGCCCCTTGGGTGCAATTTTAAATGGGAGTTTTAAAATTTCTCTTCCTGCTATTTCATTTGTAGTGTATAGAAGTACAGCAGGTTTTTCTGTATATTAATTTTTATATCCTGCAGCTTTATTGGATTCATTTATTCTTTTTTTTTTTAAGATTTTATTTATTTGTTTGAGAGAGAGAGCACGAGCAGGGAGAAGGGGCAAAGGGAAAGGGAGAAGGCAGGCTCCCTGCTGAGCAGGGAAGCCTGATGTGGGGCTCGATCCCAGGACCCTGGGATCATGACCTGAACCAAAGGCAGACACTTAACTGAGCCACCCAGGTGCCCCTCATTTATTAGTTCTAAGAGCTTTTTGGTGGAGTGTTTAGATTTTCTATATATAGCATCATGTCTTCTGCAAATAATGACAGTTTTACTTCTTTCTTACCAATTTAAATGCTTTTATTTCTTTTCCTTGTCTGATTGCTGAAGCTAGGACTTCTAGCACTACATTGAATAAAAGTGGTGAGAGTGGACATTCTTGTCTTGTTTCTGATCTTAGAGGAAAAGCTTTCAGTTTTTCACCATTGAGTATGATGTTAGCTGTGTTTCATATTTTTTTATGTTGAGGTATGTTCCCTATAAACCCACTTTATTGAGAGTTTTTATCATGAATAGATGTTGTATTTATCAAATGCTGTTTCTGAATATTGAGATGATCATATGGTTTCTATCTTTTTAAGATTTTATTTATTTGACAGTGAGAGAGAGCACAAGCAGGGGGAGCAGCAGAGGGCAAGGGAGAAGCAGGCTCTTCGCTGAGCAGGGAGCCTGATGTGGGGCTCGATCCCAGGCCCTGGGATCATGACCTGAGCTGAAGGCAGACGCTTAATGACTGAGCCACCCAGGCGCCCAAACTTTTCTTTGTTAATATGATGTATCACATTCCCTAGTTTGTGAATATTGAACCACCCTTGCATCTATGGAATAAATCTCACTTGACTTGAATGATCTTTTAATGTATTGTTGAATTCGGTTTGCTCATATTTTGTTGAGGATTTTTGCATCTGTGTTCATCAGGGATATTGGCCTGTGTTTTTCTTTTTTTGTAGTGTCTTTGATTTTGGTAATGGTAATGCTGGCCTTAAAGAATGAATTTAGAAGTTTTCCTTCCTCTTCTGTTTTTTGAAATAGTTTGAGAAGAATAGGCTTTCACTCTTTTTAAGATGTTTGGTACAATTCATCTGTGAAGCCATCTGCTCTTGGACTTTGGTTTGAAAGGAGCCTGTTACTGTTGCTGTTGTTGTTTTTACTACTGATTCAGTTTTATAACTAGTAATTGGTTTGTTCAAATTTTCTATTCTTCCTTACTCAGTTTGGAAGATTGTATGTTTCTAGGAATTTATCCATTTCTTCTAGGATGTCCAATTTGTTGGCATATAAGTTTTCATAGTAGTCTCTTATAATCCTTTGTATTCTGTGTTGTCAGTTATTATTTCTTCTCCTCCATTTCTTTTTTTTTTTTTTTTTAAGATTTTATTTATTTATTTGACACAGAGAGAGCAGAAGCTGAGGGAACGGGAGAAGGAGAAGCAGTCTCCCCGCTGAGCAGGGAGCCCGATGGATCATGACCTGAGCCGAAGGCAGAGGCTTAACCAACTGAGCCACTTGGGCCCCCCTTCTCCTCCATTTCTGATTTTGAGTCTTCTCTTTTTTTTTTTCTTGGTCAGTCTGGCCAGAGGTTTATCGATTTTGTTTATCTTTTCAAAGAACCAGGTCTTGGTTTCATTGATCTTTTCTCTTGTTTTTTTAGTCTCTGTTTCATTTATTTCCACTCTCATCTTTATTATTTGCTTCCTTTTACTAACTTTGGGCTTTGTCGTTCTTTTTTTTTTAGCTCCTTAGGTGTCAGGTTAGATTATTTATTTGAGATTTTTCTTATTTTTTGAAGTAGGCCTATATCACTATAAACTTCCCTCTTAGAACTGCTTTTGCTGTGTCCCAAAGATTTTGGACCATTTCATTTCATTTGTCTCCATGTATTTTTTTATTTCCTATTTTATTTATTTATTGACTCATTGGTTGTGTAGTGGCATGTTGTTTAGCCTCCATGTGTTTGTATTTTTTCCAGTTCTTTTTTTTAAAGATTTTATTTATTGGGATGCCTGGGTGGCTCAGTCAGTTAAGCAGCTGCCTTCAGCTTGGGTCATGATCCCAGGATCCTGGGATCTGAGCCCCGAGTTGGGCTCCCTGCTCAGCAGGGAGCCTGCTTCTCCTTCTCCCTCTGCCCCTACCCCCCAAATTGTGCGCACTCTCTCTCTCAAATAAATAAAATATTTTTTAAAAAAAGATTTAAAAAAATCTTTTAAAAAAAGATCTTATTTGTCAGAGACAGAGCACACAGCAGGGGAAACAGCAGGCAGAGGGAGAAGCAGACTCCTCACAGAGCAAGGAGCCTGATCTGGGACTTGATCCCAGGATCACTTAAGGGCCTAAGCCACCCAGGCATCCCTCCAGTTCTTTCCATGTAATTGATTTCTAGTTTCATACCATTGTGGTCAGAAAAGATGCTTGATATGATTTCAGTCTTCTTAAATTTATTAAGACTTGTTTTGCGACCTAATGTATCATCTTCTTGGAGGATGTTTCATATACCCTTAAAAAGAATGTATATTCTGCGGCACCTGAGTGGCCTAGTCAGTTAAGCATCTGCCTTTGGCTCAGGTCATGATCCCAGGGTCCTGGGATTGAGCCCCACATCGGGCTCCCTCCTCAGCGGGGAGTCTGCTTGTCCCTCTCCCTCTGCCCCTCCCTCTTGCTTGTGCTCTCTTGCTCGCTTGCTGTCAAATAAGTAAGTAAATAAATAGATCTTTGAAGGAAAAAAATGGGTATTCAGCCATCTTTGGATGGAATGTTCTGGGTGTATCTGTTAGGGCCATCTGATGTAATGTGTTGTTCAAAGCCATTGTTTCTTTATTGATTTTCTGTCTGAATGATTTATCCATTGATGTAACTGTGATGTTAAAGTTCCCTAGTCTTCCTTTATGTCTCTTAGTATTTGCTTCATGTAAATACATGAAGGTGCTCCATTGTTGGGTGCATCAATATTATAATTGCTATATCCTCTTATTGGATTGATCCCTTTATCATTATGTAATGCCCTTCTTTGTCCCTGGCTGCAACCTTTGTTTTAAAGTCAGACAATTATTGTAATTATTAAAAGAAATTAAATAAATACATTTTCCAAAGATTTCATTCAAGAAGGGATTTATATTCTTGATACCTTGAAATAGTGTCTTATGGTCAGGAGCTGTATTCTAGAGAAACCACTTACTAGTCACTATGTGACTTTAGGAAAGTTACTTAATCTCTCTGTGTCTTAAGTTTCTTACCTATGAAATGGGACTAATAATACCTTACTTTCTAGTGCAATTATGAGTATGAAAATAATGCATATGAGACATTTTGCTGAGTACTTGGTATATAATAGATGCTCCATAAATGATGGTTGCTATGATTGTCATTAGCATATAACAAAAGATGGAAGATTAAATTTTAGTCTCCTACCCCATCTTTACTGAACTTATTAAGTTACTTATAAAACAAGTTTGTTAATAGTAACTTCCATTTCATTTCTTTTTTTTTTTTTTCCTGTTTGAAGGGCTATTGAGTGGCCAGACTTCCCCAACAAATACCAAATTGGAGAAATTGGATTCTCAGCAGGTGTTACAGCTCTGCCTTCGATATCAGGATCATCTTCATCAGTGCGCAGAGGCCGTTGCCTTTGATCAGAATGCTTTGGTTAAACGAATCAAAGAGGTAATGTACTGTGGGAAAATAAAATCACCGGCTCATTATTGTGATTTCCTCTGACTCCCAAGTCCTTTTTTACTGGGAAGTAGAGCCAGTGATCCAGGCTTTATGGGGAATAGTCATTTTCTGATTTAGTCTTGACATTTGTCCCCATTGCTTTAGATAGATTGTCTTTCCTGGCAGTAAAATGTAATGATGAAAAGGAGTAGTCCATGGAGCTGGAATTTGAAACCTGGTTCACCACTTCTTTGCTTGGATAAGTTACTGAACTTCTCCTGGTCTCAGTTTTCTGATCTGAAAAAGAGTAGTAACCTATCCCAAGGGTTGAATGAAGATTAAAATTGCTCAGTAAGTGTTAGCTACTATTAGTATGTAAAGTCCTGCCATACTAATCTGCTCTAGCTGATTCAAATCTTTGAATTGACTTTAGCTGTTTCCTATATGAAATTTAGATTTTGTTTTCCAATAGGGTATCAGTTGTTTGAGAGCAGGAGCCTTGATATCACTTTCAATTATTTTTTCACAGTATGAGCACATGAAAAGCTCAGTGATTTTTATTGGTTGAATGGAAATAATTATGCTTATTCTATCCACAAGGTTTTTGTGAGGGAAGGAACAAGGTAATTCCTGTGAAAGTACTTAGAAAACTGAAGTGTGTTCTACAGATGTTTAGTAATTATTAAGAATAATAAGGTACTTCAGTTAAACACTGAAATATATCATTGACTGGGCTCCTGCATGGTATAGTACATACATTTTCTAAAGTTTTCAGTAAAGAAGGGATTAAGATTCCTGATACCTTGAAGTAGTTTCATATAAAGAAAAGGTCAGGAGCTCAATCTTGGAGAAACCACTCATGTTAATGGCAACTCCTGGAGTTGTTTAACAAAATAGTCCTGGTCGTTGACTCAGGCACAAGAAGAAGATGGATATGAGGAAGCACACAAGTAAAGGGTTGAGAATCACTGCAAATAGATGTCGTAAATCCTTGAGATTACAAAGTTGTCTCTAGGTATATTGATAGATTTAAATTTGCCAACACCTCTAATATTTTACTACTTACCTTTCATAATATATATACATATATGTTTCTCTCATGGCTTAAATACTTTTATTTGGAAGAGCATTCCAAATTGTCATTTTATATTTTCATATTGGTTGGCATTGTTGTGGCCTTTCAAATATTATAAACATATTTTACTATATTATGATCTATAGAGATTTAAATCCCAGATGTGATTGTGTTTGTTTTAATACTTAGTTTTCCTCTCCTGCCGGTAGGTTTAGGATGTGGTCTGTAAATCATTATTTTAATAAGCTTATCAAACGATACTGAATCCATTCTCCATTACCTGAGATTTGGGAACCACTGGTCTAGAGCACTGTTTTCCAAAATAAATTCTACAAAATTAGTCCCATGTGAAGAAGGTCAAACTTTTTGCATATTCCATCACCACCCTTGGAAAGTCACAATGCATATTATCTTTTTAAAAGTTCTTAGGAATCTTACAGGAAATAAAACTGGTGTTTTTCTTTTTTATTATT